AAAAAAAAAAAAAAAAAAAAAAAAAAAAAAAAAAAAAAAAAAAACATAGAAATTGAGATTGAGCCAAATATCAAAATGCCTAATGCCACTAGGCAAATTTTAGCGTTGACTTTCGTGCTTTTTGCGCTGTAGGGAGTGATTTTCTTACTACAAGGAGGGAATCAGTGCAGCTAGAATCTCTTAAATATAATGTCTCTGGTGAAACCGCTTACAGCTGTACTAAATAAGTGCTTCCATCTCATATATTTTAGTTCATAAAAACTTTTGCGTTAACTCACCACGGTATTATGGTAATTTGAGAACAAGAATACTTAAGAATGTTGTTTCTTTAACTGGAACAGAAAAATGGGGGGAACAGAAAAACTGCACACATATGTTCATGTGTACAGTGTACGGATATGATAAGATGAAAACCAAAGCGGGAGCCTAGGAAACGCTCCAATGCCAAATTAAACATTTTTCAGTAACAGATGCAGTCAAAATTGAAAGTCCTCTTCGACTAGTTGTTTCGTGCGCCGTCAATCTTGTAGGATACTGTGCAGCGCCTCTGACGCGAAATAGTTGCTTAAAGCGTTGCGTCGCTGCAGGCAACCAGCGTGACACGCGCACGGGCGCCTACAAACCTAACGGAATACATCACGCGTTGCGCAATGCGTGAAGTATCTCGTTTGGTTTGTAGGCGCCAGTGCGCGTTCTGCGCTGCTAACACGCCGCTCCACTCTGTGTTAGGCTCTAATATTTGAACTCGCGGAGTCAGCGTTTTTCAACTCATGATTTTGAAATGTTTGCACTCTCTGCATTGATTATTCCCTTTTAAACTGATGAAAAAGAAATATGTACTACTGGAAAATTTTGATGTATGGAAATACATTTGGAACACTGGAAAACTGTTTTTTGTAATAATAATGGAGGTTCCGTGTCAAATTTAATGATTTCCAAAGCATTCAAATTTATTCTTTTATGTTTTGGGTTTTTACTGTGCTGCAGCGTGGTGTAAGCGCAACTAAACGCTCAAAAATAAAAAAAAAAAAAAAATGCACATTTAAGGCATATTTTATATCGGAAATTTCAAGGATAGAAATGAAACCAAGTATTTACCAACGGCAATTTGAAAAGATTAATCAAAAGTAGAAATTAACATTTCATTTAAAATATGAGTTACGATAACAACACCTCATTCTCTCTTAATTTTCTCATTTCGATATTGTCAGTATAATTTTACTTACGGACTAAAATATAACGCTCGAATTTGATTTTAGTGGACTTTACATTTGTGGACTTAACTTAGTAGACGTTTAAGTAATGGACTTAACAATAGTGTGGGCTTTAGAGCTGAGGACGTAAAAATTGTTGACGTAAGAAAGTGGACATAAAGTCCGTGTACCGCGATTACAGTGTTTTCAAAATCGTGCAACTTCTTCTTCCCTTTTAAAAATACTTTTTAAACGAAATGTTCAGTATTCAAATTTAGATGGTTTTTTTCCCTTTAGAAATAAAAATATTTTTGGTGGGAAGAAAAAACTGTTTGCTACTCTGAGAGATTTTCTTACATAATTATGAAGTAGAAACATTTTAACAACGCTGTATGAATAGGAAATGCCGCCAGTTGACGTCACTAGGCGGTGCATTTTTTCCTTTTCAAATCCATTTTCATACTATTTCCCATATAAAAAAAATGGTAAAATATACAGTGAAATCAGCTGATTGAGCACTTTCAGATGAAGCAATAAAAATTTGCATGCAAATTCTCCCTTCAGCATTTAAAAGTTCTCAAACACTTTCTCAAATCCAGAACGTTAAATCAACTTGACTCTTTTTCCGGTGAAGACATTCACACATGATGTGAAGACCAGGACGGCACTGGGATAGGAGCATAGGTGGAATCTGGATGGGAGGGTCGATAGATGAGCGGGAGAAGCGGCGACAGGTGAGTGGCTCACAGGGACGGGACAGGGACACGAGCCACGGCCGCGAAAACAGGTGCGAGGGCCCGCGATGGCCCGCGATGGCCCGCCAGCCCGAAAGCTGCTCCGCATTGAGCAATGACGGCGGGAGGCGCGAGAGTGCGCACAATGTGCCGCCAGGGGCTCCGTATGCCGCGACAGACGCTCCAATCCCATTGGCCCGCTCTCGCCCCGCCCACCGCCGCCTCGGATTGGCCCCAAATCCACGGATGAAACGCGATCAGCCCCGCAGTCGGAAAGCATCCCTCGTACGCAGTCATAGCAGGGACAGAGTCCTCTTCCCGTTTCTCAGAGCACGTGTTTTTACTCCTCTGATCGTCGCTTTATTGTCACGCTACTTTTATGGTTGCGTCATCAACGTGTGATTTCATTATATTGCTAAAGTTAAATAAGTGAATAAAGTTGGATACTGGAATTTTTCTTTTTTCTATGTGATATATTCCGGAAGAGTATTTAAAGGACTGTATTTTCTCTCCGTTGTATTGTTCTGTCATCATTACCAAGGTGTTCTCTAGGTGTTTTGATCGCATTTGTGAGGATTTCAAATTTAAAAAACCATAGATTGAAATTAATATTTTTTTTTTATAAATTCTCGCTTGCCTTTTGGGAAAGTTATCAAATGAAACTTCCTTGACTAGAACTAGTTGTTTTTTAAAGTGTAAACTTTTCACGATGGTAAATAAGCGAGAGACTGAACTCCCTGTGCTTGGATCTAGATGAAATAACCTGACCCGTACCCGTTTTCGTTTCTGTTTTGGTGAGTATCATTTTACTTATTTATTCCGACATTATTGCACAAAGCGAGGGATTTAAAATTGAAGCGGTAATTTTCAAAATTAACGCGAGTGTCACTTTCAAAGATTCGAAGAAAGCTGCAAAATAGTTAAGGTAGGGAGTTAAAGTTGAATTCCATCAGCTAACACTCTTTTAGGTAAATCTTGTCATTTCAAAGGAATTGCTCATATTTTTGAAAATGAAGTTTGCATGGTTGAGGATCAAAGGGCATTCTTTCTTTTACTTTTTTTCAAATTTATGAAAGTGGCACTCTCGTTATTTTTTAAATAGAAAAATAAAACATGTTTAATTTTGGAGCCGGTAGTCCGATTAAATGAATTTTTAAAAATTCTCAATTATTTTCTGTGAGGCATTTAAAGTAAAAGCCCATCATGCAGCTGGAATCAGTTCAATACTCATTTTTTTTAAAGTTAGTGATTCGTCAAGACGATTAAAATCCGGTGTTAAAATTGAACATTCATGATGCTTGATTCGAAATTCGATCATATCAGCACTGACAATTCTGCTCTTGTCACAGATTCAGATTTTTCACTTAACTTATAGGTGCGACTGCGGTTGCTAAAACTAGATATTGGTTGACTAAATTAAAAATTCTGGTCGTAATTCCAAGCTGCGCTAACTATACCGTTTTATTATGGGTTAACCCCAGAATAAAGCAAATGATTTGCTTTTTATTGCTTTTTATTTGTTGCGTTGAGCGGACCTGCAATTAAAGTTTCGAAAAGTGAAATTAGAAAATCATGCATTTAGAGGAATGTGGTTCAGAGTGACGTTCATACTTCATTTTTCAAGGAAGCATCGCAAAATATTGTTTCATGAAAATTATAAGATAACAGTGTAATAGAGAAAGGATAACCATATGTTTTTCTTCAGCTTATACAATGCTTAAACATGCAAACCGAAATGTTTTCCGTTCTTTTCACCTCTCGTTTTATTAGAGGTATTATTTATTTATTTATTTATTTATTTTTTTCATGATTCCAAAATCGATGGTACTCAGTTTTAGTGGTAAGATTTTTCAGTAAATTAATTAATGTACACATTACTTGAAATGGGTGACACTTATAAATGCCGTTTCATCTTCGACGAAAACCCGACACGTGCTTTACAGATCTAAGAGCGCCTTATAAGTTACCATGAATCATAAAATTGCTCCAACATCAAATATTTACACCAATAAGTTTCCTTACAGAACAATGTTAAACAAATCCTGAAAATTCTCCACAGTATAAGGTGGTAAAAAACCGACTATTATTTTTTGTCTTCTTTAACATACGACCGTAACAATGAATTTTCAAAGAGGACTAATGACTCATCAGTCATCTTTAAAAATTTCCGGTTAATTTTCGAACTATTTATAATTGATACAAAATGTATGAGTGGCATGGTTCAAAAATAAATTAAATTATTAATACATATATTTTTTTTTTTTGTTCCAAGAATTTTTAACTAAAAGTAACATTTGTACCACCTGACGCCCTCCAGGGGCTGCCGAGTGATTCGCTTTTAATCACCAAATATGCAATTTTCACCACTAGCGAGTAAATTAAGTGGTACCAAAGTTTTTTTTCAAAAAGGAAAGAGCTTTTTTGTTAAATTAAGATATTTTGTTCTTGCTACTATCTAGGATAGTACCAATACATTGGAGCATCCGTATAATTCATACATTCGCTCGAATCTTTTCATTAGATGGACAGTAAAGTAGAATCATGGAAAATTGCCTTTTTGTTCCGGTATCAGCTTTCCATCTAGATTTCACTTACTCAGATATTGCTTACAGTCATTGTTTACTCCTCTCGTAAAATTGTGAACACGATCAAAGGGCTCTAGATCTTACTCGTCTTAGTTTTTAAGATTATTGTGAGATACCTAATTATTTTTGAATAATTTTAGAATCGATTTTACATGGATTGTTGAGGCTCAATCATTGTTCAGCAGCCTGATTGTTGGAACTTCAACCAGCTTTTGTCGGCAAGATAAAGACAAGACGTGGCCCTATCTGCGCTGCGTAAAAGATCGATTTTCGATTCTTGTCGTGCCGACATCAATTTTAACAGTCAGGGAGCAGGATCTTCTCGCGAGAAAAAAACATAAATAAGTATGTGGGAAAACCTTACGATAGAATTTGATAAGACAAGGCATGCATTATCGCGTTAGTCTATCTAATAAGCAGCTCAAGTTCCAACGAACAATTTTATGCACACTCTTTCAGTCGGGTTGCTTTCCCTTTAGATTCATCTTAGATCGAAATGACCACCCGGAGGGTTATTTTTACATTTAGTCTGCTGATAGTCATAAAGTTCAGATTTTCCGATTTTTATGCGTCATTTTAACAACTTTTAACAACTTTTTTGTTATTTTGACAGCTTTTTATCGACGTTTTACTGCGCATACAGTAAATTATATCTTATTATATGTCTTGCCAAGGCGGAGTATTAATTTTTTTCTGGAGAGAGTAATAAAGTTAATGCATAAATAACAACGTTCGTGCATGTAGGTGCATCCATCAATGCTAGCATGCGAAATAAAAATCACATGTATTCAAATTGCTGATGAGTGATCACCTATATTTTTGGTTCCATTCAAATCCTTTGAACGCTAGGAATTGTTAATTATCAGATAAATTGGAAAATTTGGTAAGGACTTTAGATCAAACCGGTTACAGTCACAGAAGGATTTTATTTTAATATTGATTTTTGCAAAATTGCAGAAACAGATGGCGAAACTATAAAATCCTACCTATATTATTCACGAATTCGGGAATAAAATCCTTTCATGGAAAAAGGATCCTCAGTTCACGAGAGCAAGATTTCCGAGAGAGGAATTTTCATTGAGTTGTAGCAGATATTTAGATTTTGATATATTTTGATGGATAACTGCTCCTGTTGGTTTATTTTCATACGGATGAAGAACGTAAAGATACGATGAAATCCGAAAATGTATTGCGCTGAACAAGGCTAATTAAAATTTCAAATAGTTTTTCTCGAAACTACCATTCTCTGTAGCCTCAAACATCAAACCGCTGTAGTACTAATTTCAGATTTTTGTAATCTTCTTTTGTGCGAAAACGTTCATATAAAGCTCCACTCTTTTTAATTTTTAAGCACTGGGGCTCCTTTTTCCGTGGACAGTAATTCAGGATGTCCAATGAGATATAGTTTTGAAATTTCCCTGATTCTTCTCGATATTTTAAATAAGATTTCCTGATTTTTTGCGCAAATACATTGACACTCGTTTGATTTTAAAATCAACATATTTAATGAATTTTATTAAAAGACTGAAAAATACTTAAGCACTCGGAATGTCTTCATCCATTGCCAATTTTCCTGACATTTTCAAGGTATTTTCTGATATTTTCCTGGTTTCACTATCGATAGACACAAGGTAGTCACACTGTTTGCCAATCAATTATTAACGCCTCAAAGTAAGGCCTTATTTTACCTAATAGTGGGCTGATTGTTGGCATTCATAGACAAATCGATAGAAAAAGAATAAATAAGGAGTATGGAGCGATCCTTTTGGTTAAAATTGGTCTTATTATAAAACAAAAGGACAAAATTATGAATTAACTAAAGGGTCTCTCGCGAGTTTCCGTTAGTTAGTTTATTGCCTACCTACTTTTTCTATTTCAACCCCTCGCTTCCACGAATAGGATTCCTCCATATCCTTTTTGTCTTCTTCGTCCATAACTTTGTCTACCAATTTCAACAATCAGCCCTCTAATTTTAATTATTTATGAATTATTTATTTAATTAATTTTTATTAATTTCTGAATATTTGTTCTCCGTTGTTGCAGATTCTCGGTGGCCCCCGCAACAATGACCATGGACATTCACCAGCACAGCCTCCGAGTGGACACGACAGTGGCTGGGCACAAAGGCCTCGACCAGTTCCACCAGACGATGTCCCCCAAGTCCTCGCCCCGCTCCCCCGCCTCGGCCTCCCCCAAAACCTATCCTCCCACTACCCCCTCGCCGTACCACCTGGAGAAACCCCGCGCAAAACGCAGCTTTGACGTCGCCTTCCTTATCCAACCGGACGATTTATCCAAAAAGCGACAGCAGAAATCAAAACCGGTTCCGACGCAACCCTTGAGCCACCCCGTACAGGAAATGCCAAAAATCAATGGGTTTCCGGATGCGCACCTATCGAATTTGCTCCTTCAGAACGGGTACCTTTACGAACCACGGCATACGTTGCAGGTTAGTCAAATTTTCGAAATATTGACATGGTTGTCAAAAGTATTTTTATATCGTCACGTTTCGGCCAAAATAAAACAAGCGCCATGCGACGTTTAAAAATTTCCGCCGCACCATTCTATTTTTCACAGAGAGATTACTCAAGGAAACTGCCCGAAAATCACACTGAATTTTCTTTGGAGTGCCAATAAAATTCAGTGAAATTTTCAAATAGATTCAACCAAAAATGTCTCTGTAAAAAATAAAGTGTCGGCGACGATTTGTAAACGTCGCATGGGACTTGTGATGCTATGGCCGAAAGGTGACGATACGATGATGTGGTATTGCAGTTTGACATCGGAGAGAAAGGCGATTAAACAAATTTGAAACAAGATTGAGTCTCGTAGAATCAAATTCCTTTCTCTCATCCGAGCAAGAAACGTCTGAAATTTTTGGCAGAGCGATAAAAAAAAGGACAAATGGACGTATTTATGCTAAAAGGAATTAAGTCTCATGCACATAGTCCCTTTTAGCATAAATACCTCCAAATGGAAAATGAAAGATCCTATTGGTGAAAGCGGAGGGTTGCGATGGACAAAGGGGTAAGTATAGACTACAACTAACGGCAATTAACTCACGAGAAACCTTGAAGTCAGTCCGTCATTTTCCCCTTTAGTCTAAAACAATCAACCGTTCCAACCAATAAAATTCCTCCAGTTTCCCTTTTTCCTCTTAGACTGTCGCTCTGTCTATAATTTTCTATAATCAAAAGCAAATTATGAAATAAAATGAATATAATCATCAATGTACTTAATGTGATCATCATAAGTAGGTGGAATGAAAGAAAATAAGACAACCTCAATTTTATAGTAACTCAACGCAACGCCTTCCGTAAATGAACTGGAATCTTGAATACAACTATACCTGCTCTGCGGATGTCTTTGTTGCATTTACGTACAATTGAAGGCGCACGGCTGTTTTTTGCGTCAAGTGACACGTAGCGTACCTTTCCGTTTCTAGTTTCCGTGAAGTTGTTGTCTTGCAGGCTGATCATTGAAATTGATAGACAAAGAAAACAAATGGAAAATGTTTGAGGAATGTCATGAATATTTTTCCTTGAAAAATTCAGGAACTTTAGGTGAAATTGCGAACAATCTGAAAGTTGGAAGACATATATTTATAAGTTTACCCGGAAATTCGTGTTTTAGATATGGAAATTTGGTGACACCTGAAGGTTCATATTTTTCCACGGCAGCACTGTCAAGTGAAGATGACCAGACATTTGGTAGAATTTACCTTACTTTCGGAAAATTCGATTTCATTTACGTTATTTAATAGCAGAGACTGTCAGTATCACCATGCTGATATCACTGTCGTTCAGAACCATAATTTTTTCTCAGTGCTCGTGTTCAAGGAATTTTTTTTTTCATTTTTAGGGCCTACCCCTGAAACAACTAGAAGACCACCCGCCGTACAACCTGGTGATGGAGAAAAGCCCGTTCAACCTGGACTCGCTGAGCGTGATCGGCTCAAAGAGCGCGTTCACGAAGGTGGCCCAGCCGGACAGGCGCCAAGTCCAGGAGAAAGTCGAAGAGAAGATGTTCACCCCCTCGCCGTCCCCCTCGGTGTCCTCGCAGCTCTCGGGGGTCTCGGGGGGCGGAGGGGCCTCTCCCGATCCCAGCTACCAGGACTCCCTCAGCCCCCCGAGTCTCCGCTCACCTGAACCCTTCGTTCGTCACCCCGCCATGACACCTTACGAGATCCCGAGGGAAAAGGTAAGTTCCAAACTTCATTGGACATTAGATTTTCACAGAAAGAAAAAGTAACCGACTTGTTGTGTTACTATAGGGTAAGCAGAAACAATTCATTAAGTTTCCAAAATAAACGACTGCACAAAGAATGTAACTGCATTTCAATGTTGCCGAATGTCCCTTTACAGATTACATTTTTAATGGAGGAATCTTGGACACTTCTACTGAAAATTTAATTTGAACAGCATTTTTACTTTATCAGGATGTTGTGTTTTCCAGAATGTAACTCACTTTCCTTTTTGCGGTCCTGATGTTGTCCGAAGAAAGAAAAGTGAGTAAGATTCTTGAAAATTCAATGATTTTTCTTCTGATTTCATGCACAATTCAGAATAAATTGAACAATAATTGCAGAAGTCCAATCTTGGAAAAGTATTCCATTGTTTGAGTTACTTTCGAAACCTTGGAATGGAGTTACGTTCCCGCGTCGCACGGCGTAATGAGTCTATGGAAGAAGTCGGACATAAAATTTTTTATGAAAATTATACAATTCTACGTTTATCTCGTCACAATTTACATTTTAAGGGGTACTTTTTGTGGAAAATTTTACGAGATAACTAATAACACTACTTTTAAAACATCATAATTTCATATCAGTAAAGATATACGATTTTAAAGTTTGTAAATCATGTCCGACCACTCCCATTGACTCGATTTTTTGCTTTTTTTATGGTTGAAATCATAATGCAGCAATCTCGTGGCTTCGGCACTACGGATGAGAATTTTGAAAAGCCTCTTCTCATACTTAGATCTGTTTCTTCAACTGAAAACTTGATGTTTAACCGACCTTCATTATTCCTCCAGGTCGTCGGGAAGATGTTCCCGGAGGAGAAGCAGGCGTTTCCGTCGGGGGTTCCGAAGGGGGCGTTCCCTAGCGAGTTCCCGTACCCGGGTCTGTCGGTGCCCAACTACCCGTTCCCGCAAATGACGGCGTTCCCGCGGCAAGCGGTGCCGATGCCCCTTCTGGCGGCCGCCACGGTGTTGCCCTCCTCGCTGGCCGCCCTCACCCTCCCGGCCCAAAACGTCTGCGCCAAGTGTAAGGTCAGCTTCCGCATGACCTCTGACCTCGTCTACCACATGCGCTCACACCACAAGCGGGAGACCACGGCCAATGACACGCTACGTAAACGCCGAGAGGAGAAGCTCAAGGTAAGAGGGACACATTTTTGGCGCGTATACGTAGTATACCGCCTTTGCGATCGTTTCGACCCCCCCCCCCCCCCCCCCCCCCCCCCCCCCCCCCCCCCCCCCCCCCCCCCCCCCCCCCCCCCCCCCCCCCCCCCCCCCCCCCCCCCCACCNAACACATTGTGTTGGAGTTCACTGCTTGTTTTAATATATCGTCCTTTTCCGGACAAAATATCACAAGCGCCACGCGACGATTTAAAATTTCCGCCACCATTTTATTGTATTTAAGAAAATTTGTTGGTTGAATCTGTTTGAAAATTTCACTGAATTTTATAGGCAGCTCAAAGAAAGTTCAGTGAAATTTTCGGACAGCTCTGTTGAACCATTTCTCTGTAAAAAACTAAAATGGTGGCGGAAATTTGTAAACGTCGCATAGCGCTTGTGATACTTTGGCCAGAAGGGGACGACATTTTTAGCTCTGCTAGAGTCTCTTTAAAATGAAGTAAAGACACATGGGATCCATTTCTGATTGGCTCCGTATTTTAGGTCGCCACAGTATCGCAAACGGGAATAAAGGCTACATTTTCACCAATTGCAAAGACTATGACCTAAAATGGACCGGGGAATTAGGGGTACGTTGGGGAACAGACAGAATGAGAGAGGGGACGGAGGAAAGAAATTGTGAAAAGGAACCGCCGATTTTATATGGTTAACACATTTTCATACTACGAAGAATGCCACGTCAAAGTTTGAGTACGATTTAACTCAAGTAGATATATTTTTTTCTATGAGCGGGAAATTAAAAATTAAAAAATTGAGAAAACGGTAATATCTTTTTTAGGAGTTACGTTTAATAATTTTCATTGTGTAAATCGTATTTTACGTAAAATTCTGATGACATAACACGTATCATAATGCTGAAATTTGCACCTTATCTAGCAGTCCATTCGCATTCAGAATCGGATGCGACGACAAAGTGAGTAGCTGTGCGCCTTCATCCACGGCACACCGCAACCCCACGACATCGGAGCTCGAATAGTTGCACGACTTAGGTTCGCATTGCTATTGCTGGCAGTGGTTTTGACGGCTTTTGGTACCATGTCTAGTCGTCGCTTTCCTGACAAGGACGTAACTAAACTTCGAAATGAACGCTGTTGTCCATAGAATTCAATGCTTTCCCGCGCTCATCTCTAAAAGTAGTTGCATCCTTTTGTCGGCCAAGCGAGCGACAGTAAACAAGGTTCGAATTTAAGTATTCTGATACACGTTTCTAAACCAAAATTTCACGTAGAACACAATTCGCGCGAAGTAAATTACTAAAATCAACTCCTTACTAAGATATGTTACGTTTTCAGTTTATGTATGTGCAGAGTCCTATAGTACGTGGTTCTTCCGAATTCAATGAGAATTAATTGAACCGAGTTCATTAGGAAGGAACCAACCCACATAAAGTTGAAACAAAGAAAAAGAGGTTCGATGTTTTTCATATCCAAGGCTTAATGTAGAAAATATACTGTCAACCCTCTTATCACAAACTAATTTTTGTTTTTCGACTTTCAGTTTTTTGCAGGAAAAAATATACGACTAGCGAAACTTAAAGGCATTCTTAACTTAAATTCGTAAATATGAGTTGGTTTCTTTTTGATGAACTCGATCCAATTGTAGCCGGATCACGGTCAGAAATGTTTATTAACTGGACGTATTTCTATCAAACAGAACTATGTGGAGGTGGGAAAGATGGGGTTTGCTTGTTAGTGCTCGGACCATAAGAATGAATGGGAAATATAAAAGCGACAGTGACGAAGCCGCCGTCGCGGCTCCTCGTAGTAGGCATTAACTCATGAGCCCTGTCCACAACGCTTTAGACACATGCCCATGGCTCATGGGTGCCGCATTCAGTTGGCTCACAATTCCGTTTGCTGAATTGGAAAAGCGGGATTTTACATTCTGTCAAACGGAACTATGTGCAAAGTGCATGAGCCATGGACATTTGTCTGGAGCGTTGTGAATAGGGCTCATGAGTTAATACCCACTACGAGGAGCCGCGACGACGGCTTCGTCACTGTCTTTTTGTATTTCCCATTCATTTTTATGACCCGAGCACCATAACGAGCAGATCCTATCTTTCCCACCTACACATAGTTCTCTTTGATGTCCGGTTGACGTCCAAGTGTTTATTTACGAATGCATTACAGAGACATTTTTTCCATCTAACTTTTCAATTTTTTTCATTTTTAGTGGTGTATTTTAACCTGTATGTTCTGATATCTTTGTTTTTGTTTGCAGTGTCCGGTCTGCAACGAGTCGTTCCGGGAGCGGCACCACCTGACGCGGCACATGACGGCGCACCAGGACAAGGAGAGCGACCGGGAGGACCTCGAGGATGCCGAGATCTCGGAGATCACGGCCCGGGCCTCCGCCTCGGCCTCGGCCACGGGCAAGAAGCAGGAGAAGGCGCCGCCATCCAAGTGACCCTCGGCCACGGCCGCCAAGAAGAGCAAGCGCCCCGGCGCATCGCCCACCCACCCGCCCACGCACCCGCCAACGGCCGTCTTCCAGGAGTGCGTCGATCTCCGCCGAGGCCCCGTCTTCTTCGTCGATCCTTGAGAGCATTCCCTATGACCCACCGATGGAGCCCAATGCGCTCTGGTGCATTCCGAGACAGGATTCAGGTATGCACACCTTACAGCTTTCATTCAGAGACAAAATCGAGGTACACTCTACTACAGGTTTAGACAAATGGAATTTCAGAAAGTCGTCGAAACGCGCGGATTTGAGAGCGCCAAATAATACGACTGCGACGCCATATTGAAAACGTGTTCACTTTCTGTTCTGAGAATGGGTCTCGTCATTTTCGTGCTCTTAGTTAAGTTTTTCGTTATTTTGAGTTTTATGAATTTTTCTAATTCATCTGATAGCTCCTTGAAGCTACGAGATCTGACTCGAGGTCATTTTGAACTGCGCGGCAAAGCTCAAAGACGGTACGACTTGCGCCGTCACTCGATGGCCTATATTCTCAGCGCTGCCACTTCGGCACCCCGTTTGACCATACCTGTGATAGAGTGTACCTTGGATTATATCAATCGCCCAAGTGCAAAACCATGAACCTGCATTCCGCCGTGCTAAGCTAGAACGCCGTACGAGCCATCAGGCGTTGCCAAATATCTCGCGACAAATCACGAATTTTCTGGAAAATTAGTCGATATTTCTTCTTCGATTTTTCATGGGATTTTGCTTGTAATTCGATCTAGAAAGTCTGAACATTTAAAGGAAAAATCCCCATACCTTTAAAATTTAATATTTTCTGAGAAGAACTTTGAGAGCATTCGAATGCTCACTCGGCGCTTTTGCTTGGCACGTAGAGCAGTATTGCAGTGTTTCAAAATGCCAGCTCCAATTATATTCTCTCGAAGAGCAAGGAGCTAAATTTGGACCGCGTTCGGCAGAAAGGAAACATCCACATCAGCTATTGCCCATTGAGCCATTAATACCACTACAAAGAGAAATAAAGTCTGGAAATTTTGACGCAAATTCAACCCTAATAGCTGAAAATATTGAAGAAGGTAGGACGAATTGAAATTCCGAACTAAAAAGTTTTAAGTTCTAGGTAAAAGTTAGGTTCACCGAAAAATCCTTCATTTCATTTGATATGCAATTTGATCTCCGGGAGGTTTAAATAGTTGCCCGAGATCGAAGAAAACCGCCAGAAACTATGCGCGATACTTTCAAAAATAATTTTGCTGGACTTTAAGTTTCTTCATTGATTGAGTTCTACTTGCTTCGATTTGCTGGGAACCAGATGAACACTCGCTTTTATTCACGTTGAAAACAGCTACGTGAAAAACCTCAAAAAAAGTACTTAATCTGCTGTACTTGAACAAATAAAATGATGCAATGCAAATGAAGTGGCACAAACATATTATGCCGGCCTCGGTTAAGAGTATCAATATGTAGTTGCCAGTGGATTGGAGCGTTTGAAAGTGCTGTTTTTAATTTCATAATGCCTCGATTGCGCTCCAATCGCTTGGTTGGTCGGAGGAGTAATTACACTAAACAAGTAGCGCTCTGAGAAAACTTTGTTGGAAAGCCATTCAGCTGCCAGCCCTCTAATAGGTGTCTTGATAACGCGCCGTGTTTGCCAACGCTTTTCTCTTTTATCACTCCGCGAGATCACATTCTAGGTAATGTCCCTCAAACTTTTATTTCAAAATTACTCCCTGGAATCTGTGGATTAGGAACATATTTTTGTGAGACGGAAAAACTATAGAAGGAGGATAATGGGCATGAAAAAAAGCTTCAGTTATTTGCCTAAAACACAGCTTGTTTTTAATGGTTAATTTGGCTTATGTTAAGTGTGGGTTATTTGCATTGCATGTGAAAAACATGCATCTAATCTATATAATATAAAACCAAAAATTCTAATTTTACAATCATCAGTTGATTTTTGAAGTTATTGGTATACGTTCCACGTGTTTGCGCCAAACTTTGATGAGAAAAAGTGTAGCGTAGTGCTTAATTGCTCACCCTGTCTCTTTTCACAAAGAACTTTTTACCAATCATTTTCTAAAGGAGCCATGGAATACTATTTACAACGGCAATAAGTGGTTTTTGAAGACCCAAAAGAGAATATTTTAACACATACATCTCTGGGGGCTGTACCTACTTTTTGTTGTTCTTTAAACAAGTCCTTCCTGTAGGGAGCTCCATGTGGTTTCAGGAGGTTTACGAAGATCCTTATTATATCATCATACCAAAAACAATTTTATCAAATCACAATTGATACTCAATAGTATAACTTGAGACTAGACCCTCGCAAGGAATTATGATGATTTGCCTCGACAAAAAAATTAAAATCACAAAAGAAAAATTTCTCTCGCGGTTTTAAGAAAATTGGTAGAATCGTACCTGCTATAAAATTCGTTACATGCATTCATCAAATGTTTTCCGTATTTGTTCTTATTTGCAAAGTCAAATCGTTTTTGTTGTTTTCGATGGTATACTGTTAAATTTCACTTGAGATTTGATAAAATTGTCCTTTTTATGATGCTGTATTGAGAATCCCCTTGAACTGGCTAAGGATGGTTTTAAGGCAGCCAAAAAGCGAAACCACACATTTTGATTGTGATGTTCAAAATTGCCCACTCCTAATTTATTATATTGAGGAGGAGCAAGCCAAGTTTATAGCTTGAAATTTTTACAGGATACCCTGCGCTAAAAGAGAGGAAAAATCAAGGAGGTTTTTGAGACAATACATTAAATGGTTTTCCAAAGAAACACTGAAGGGTGACAGGAAGTATGTAACGTTGCAAATGGACATACGTGGTTTCGCACTTTGGCTTTCGATTCGTGGCTTCCTGAGACAAGGAGCTGTTTAAAAACCGACTGAGTACGGCCTTAAATCATACAATTATTTGGTGTAGTTCTTTTCATCCTTTTTTCTTCATGATAATACTTATTTAAATACCATTCCATGAGAAAATACAGTCACTCAATAGCGAGTATTTCCAATCCACGACTCTTAATTTAAACTTCTCAACTTAATTAAAACTAATCGTAAATCTGATGCTCACCACCGCTCTCTCGACCCGACTCATGGCGGAGTTGGCTTCGGTTAGATGCCCCGGAGATTAAATTAACCGAGTGCAAATGGATTGAAACAGGAATCGATTCGAAAAACCCGCCCGTTGAAGTATATCTATTAGCGTAAAAATACAGCCGAACCCAGCGCCGCGCCGCGCAGCGAGGCAAAAGGGGTAAAAAGCCCCATCGGCGAGGGGTGGGGGGTGGAAATAATTGTAATATGATTAAATACTCGCACGGCTCAACCCTATCAGCTGTTGATAACCGCGCTCGGAAGGGGCAAGTTGGAAACTAAATGGCCCGCAAAGAAAAAGATAAGCAAAAGCGCGATTGTTTCTTCTGTTCACATGTCATGCTTATTGCGTTTTATTCCCGGCAATACTTTGCATTCGAGAGGACTAATGCATCCCGCTCCACGCCACGTTGCCACGCCGCTCGATTTCCGAACCATTTTTAGAATAAACAACGTAACTTCAAAGCAGATATTATACGTTGATACGCGGTTCTTGGTCTCTGAGGCCAATTCCAACCGCGGAACTCTACTGGTAACAGAATGTTGATGCGTGATTTTTGCCTTTCGCGATAAAAAATTAAATACATTTCCGAAAGTTTGGCATCGTTGCTCGTCCCAATGATGATTGCTATCGCCGCCCCGGCCGCATCTGCAACCCGTGTGGCAAAAAGAACGGCCTCGTTTCACTACACAATTGCCAGCTCGATAGGATTACACCGCCTTTTCAAGTGGAATGAAGTTGGTTTCGGTGGAGGATTTGGCGACACCGTTTAGTTTCCTCTCGATCGGTCGATGAGTTTTATCTGCGGATTTGAACGGAACCGTGTTTTAATGGCCGCGCGCATTAGTGGGCGAAAAAGTGCGCGTGTGGCGAAACACGACCGAACATAAACCACACCTATTCCGTGAATGTACGATTAGGTGATTTGCAGGATGGTGAGATTTGATTCGTGATTTTTAGCGCTCGTATAGTACGGGGGTTTTTGTGTTTTAATTTTTCGGAAAGGCGCAACAAATTAGAAGCCTTCGATTTAGTGCGGTCATATCGGTGCACGAGGTTAAAAATGTTCCTTTGTTAAGTCAGGGCGAGCTATATAAGTCTTGAGTGGTTTAGTTCAATTTAAAACGTCGACGAATATTAAAACGGCGTATCTGGCCTTTTGAGTTCTGAATACGCCAGGCTTAAAACCTCATATCGGCAACCTATAGCACTTTCTAACGGTCACGATATCTTATTGAGTACTTTTCTTACCTTTAAGCCTTTCTTCTGGTTTTTGCCACATTTTCGGTTTTTCAAGCAATATTCACTGAATCATGAATTTATCATTTCTGTCATTGCAGATAAACGATTCTCGTGAGCTATCACATGAAGTTGGGATCAAGTCAGTCTTTAAAAGTCCAAATACCAAGCTTCAAATAAAAAAACCGACTCCTGGGAACCTGAAAACTGCCGTCTTCGGATTAATACCAAAACTTGGTGCCAGCGTAGCATAAAGTCTAGTCAATTGCAATTGGACGCCGTCCTAAAAAAAATCACGTAAATGAGTGAATTATTTGAATTTGTAAATTTTTATAGTTATGCAATATGATAGTATGTAAAAATTACCTCTGTTACCTCTTGAAAATTTTAACGCTGATTAGTTTTAATCTTCTCAGTTGTTAATGTAAATTATGTAAATTATGAAGACTTGTTCGTTTTTAAGCCAAACGAATAGGCAAATCGTGCAATATCAGTAATTTTAAGGTTTCTACTTGTGTAAAATGTACTCTGAAATACTTTTAAAAGTCAAGAACACTTTTGAAAAGTGATCATGCTTTATAATTTTATGGTCTGTGTCCTCTAGTCAAACCCATTTTCTTAAGATCATCCCATTTTCCCCCGTTTTCCTTTAAACATAGAACCTGAATACACACAAATAGAGAATTGGACTTAATTTTGCAATAAGTTACTAAAACAACGTACCCGTCATTACTTTTCCTATGAAGAAAGGTGATTTTGTAGATAAGCCAACAATTTTAATTCTCGATTGCAAAATATAGTCCAGACGTCTGCGCATTAGCAGCGAGGAACCTTTCACTGCACAAGTTAAAATGTATTTTTTCTCCAACATTAATGAATCGATGGTAGAGGCTGACAAAAGAGGCTCTGAATTTGAAGAATATAATTGAAAAATGAAATAAATATATTTTTTAGTTATTGTTGAGTATCAGTCACGGTTTTTTTTTTTTTTTTTTTTTTTTTTTTTTTTTTTAAATTCGATGAAAGACTAAATGGACTGAATTTTGCAAAAAGGGACCAAGTCCATTCCAAAGTCACTTAGATTATGCAACTTTTTTACCTCGTGATTATAAACTGATCATCTAAACCAGTTTCATATGTACTCCTAATAAATAAAATAAAACTCATAACGAAAATTACCTTTTTGAATTTAATTTTTTACATGATTCCATTAATTATTGCAAAAAATGTAAGTTTGAAAATCCTTGCAACATTGGAAAACTCTTGGTTCCATTTTGCAAAAGGCAATCCAAATTTCAGTTATGTCAGTAGTCCTTTTTTAGTCATCGATATAATACATTTTTTTCTGATAATCTGCCACCAATCTGATCTGAAAAAGTATTGAATTATTATTATGGACATTATTAAATTAGAATCTCGAAGACGAATTTAATTGATTCAACTTAATGATATTTAGATGTGACTTTTTTCTGAATCTACCTACTGGATTTTTTCAGTTCCCGTTCCTTTATAAAAAAAATTGTATTATACGCATGAAAATAACTTCCTCCTCCCATGACATTTTGAATTTACCAGTAGACTTTTTTTAAATTTGTATACAAAAATCTTTAAATTTGAACTCATCTAATGAAAAGTTGTATTCTACAGTTAAATTGTGATTGTGAAATTTTGAGCAATTTTCCAAACGGGATAAAAGAAACTTGGTTTCAACCCAAGCGTGTAAAAAGCAATAATTCTCCAGTATTTAAATTTTTTGTTTGTATAAAACTAGTTGTAGGTACGTAAGATTGACCTCGATTTTCGAGTAAGAGAGTAAGTGGAATAACCCTTACTTTCTTCTCTTTTCTTTTCTCATTATGCTTCTAGTCCTATGGTTACGTTAATTTGATGTTATTTTTATGTTGTTGCCGAAATAAAATGTTACAAAGTTTGAATATAATTTGTTGAAGTTTCCATTTATCCTCTTATTCCGACGATTAGACGCATCGTTCTAAAATAATCTACCTGTACCAAAACGTTAAGAAAAAAAAAGAAAGAGAGAGAAATACCTCATGTACACAGTGGTCTTGAAGCCAAAAAGAAGTCAATGTGGCTTTATTCCTCTCTATTTAACGCAATTCATTTATGAGCGGTTCATTTAGCCATAGGGTGTGCAATGGCCATGAGTCATCCAAACCATGTCCGTTTGAGAGGGGTTTTTCTTAGAGCCTTGGCGCATATCGACGGTGAAACTACCAAACCACGTATCTCGGTTTGCGACGTCACAGACTTCCTGTCATACTTTATTTTTTAAATGAAAAACTACTTAACGTCCAGTCTTAAAAATATCTGTGATTTTTCCTCTTCGTGCGTAGAAAATTCCGTGAAAATTTCAAGGAATGATATTGATTTGGTCTATTTCAAAAAAATAAAATGCGAGCGTAGATTTTTAAACACCGCAAACGAGATACGTGGTTTGGTAGTTTCACCGTCGATATGTGGTAAGTGAGAATTAGACGTATTTCTGCCAAATGGAACTTTGTGCATTATGACACGAGCCCTGTTATGCACATATTCTTATGGGCCGTAGGGCTCATGTCTTAATGCACATACTTCTGTTTGGCAGAAATACGTCCAATTGACTCAACTGCCGAGCCTTCCTTGTAGGCACATCCCAGCTCCTTTTGCAGTTCCCGTTCAGATTTTGTAGCACACGAATATTATATCTCTCACAGTCTCTGCTCGCTCTATACTTGCAGTGTTCTTTTTTGCAAAGGTGCAAAATTTGCCCTATTATGCAGTAAGTAGATTTCCTGACAGCTACTTCAGGTACCATGTTAAGGATAAACTCCGTATGAACATTCGAATGTCACCAAATTTCCTTCTTATAAAACATGTATTGTTAAGAAAATGTATGTATATTTTTCCTTGAAAATACCTGCCACCCTGGATCAAATTACGAACTGAACTCTGAAAAATTCGAGGAAAAGTACTTGTGACCTTTCCTGAAAATTTGCGATTTGTCAAAATAAATTTTACAACGTCGGACGGTGCTCACAGCGTTTTTCCTTGGCACGGCTGAAGAGAGGCTGTTTGCTGTCAACTTCAGAGACATTAACGCCCTCCAACAAGATCAAACTGCACTAGCTAGTGCAACTATTTAAAATCCAACGTCACAAAATTTCCGCGCACTGTAATTGAAGGCGCATCTCATGAGCATTAAAACGACAATCACGACAAACTGCTTGATTTGACTGCTAGCCCGAAACATTAACATCCATCCGCGAAGAGTCAATTTTCTACTACGAGCTCATTTTGGATTCTTACAGAGTCGAGGCCGAGACAAAATACTAACGAAGGAAACATAATTGAGCTCTCCGTTGAGATGGGAGTGACGAGAGACGAGTGCTTATGCTAGCGTGTTCAGAACTTCAGATTAACGAAGTCGTTCAACTTGAGCGGCGTAGGGGCGTAGGCTCTTCCAGAAGTCGCCAATTAGCACAACGGCACCGATTCAGAATCAGACCGACTCTTAAATCGTTGACAGCTAGCTAAGCCGAAAAATATGGCACGCGGTTCGGAAAGAGTTGACTTCGCTTCAGAGGCGGAGATGCGAAATTTAATCAATATATTGTTTTTCACTTCAGTACTTTTCCGTGCTTTGACTATACATTCTGCAATGAAGGAGCATTACCTCTGGCTAATCGTGGAAACAGCAGATGTGCCTCAAGTAAATACTTCCGACAGCAAACGTGTAGTTGGCGAGAATGAGGCAAGCTGGCGCGCCTTCAACTTCGTGCACGCAACCCGGATATCCATCAAGCACGAATAGTTGTATCCTCCCGCCGTGATGTAAGATAGGACTCCGCGCTGCGACGCCGCCGGCATGCTTGTTCATGTAGTGTTTGAGGCAAGCCGGTGTGCCTTCGATTTTTTACACTGGGTGTTTTCGAAGAAATGTCTGTGTGCAACTTAACTTTTGGCGGCTACGCCTGTCTTAAAATATGCTGTTCAGTATTTGGTCACTAAACCTTGAGTGAATTTTGACTTGCAAGTACACTTTTCTTACGGGAAATAACGTTTAGAATACAACGCACTCAATAAATACGTGAAAAAGTGACTTTGAAACTAGGGAAGACGCAGCTCAAAACGAGTAACTTCTCCGCAAATTCAAAGCGTTCCAAGAAACAAGCACTGATGTCTGCAACTTCAGTCAAATGTTTTTGAAGTGTACGATGCATGTAAATTATTTATAAAATTGCAAAAATTGTAAAAGTAACATACCGAGATGCGATTGTTGTTGACGGAGGAATTTCGACAACTATTGCACCTATGTGGTATGTTACAGTTATATCGACGGTGCAAGTCGGCAATCACATAACTCGTTTGCGGTGTCTGAAAATCTCCGCAACTATGTTATTTTTTTAGAGGAGAACAAATGGACATGATTCCTTGCAGTTTTTGCAGAATTTTCCTCGCACATAGAAGAAAAATCACGGCAGTTTTATGGAATTACCGTTGAGTAGTTTTCCGTTTAAAAAATAAAGTATGACAGGAAGTCTGCGACGTCGCAAATCGAGTTATGTGATTGCCGACTTTCACCGTCGATATGTATAACTTTTGCAATTTTACAAATGTTTTTCTACTCAACATACATGAAAGCAATACGATGATCATAACTATGTCCAGCATCAAATTGAAGCAAATCTTGCTCGTGTCATTAGTGATAACAAAACCACAATTCCATATTAAAATTTGCTCTAATTTATTGGCGAGCATCATTTGAGAACAGAATTAGATAGCAATTGAACGTATTTCTGTCAAACGGAACCATGTGCATCACGACGTGAGCCCTGTTATGCATGTATTCTTATGGGTCTCAGGGCTCATATCTTAATGCACATTGTTCCGTTTGATAGAAATACGTCCAATTCGACTATTGTAGTACTTTATCGTCATCATTTTTCCGCCATTCGGGCGCATTGAAATCCCGCGTATGTAGTTTTTGGATTTTTCTAAAGCGGTTTCCTCCGGAGAATATAGCTCAAAAATACGTAGCACGTCACTGCATTATTTATTAACCCTGAGTTTTCAGAATATCAATTAAAAAATACATTATTCAGTGACCCATGAGGAGCCTCTAATATTGAAAAGGCGAGAATTTCAAGAGATCTGACAGCAGTGTCGGTGAGAGGCTCCGGGGTGAAGCAATTCAAATAATATCATTATATTGCCGGCAACTTGGGCAATGATGGTTATAAAATCCGGGAATGGCCGCCGATATTCATAAACTTAAGTCTGGGTTCTTGTCGCGGAATTTTTTCTTCCTTTATTCCTTATCTAACGCTTTCCATATTGCTCCGCCCAACTCATTCTGGTCCTCTATTTTGCCTCAGCCCGGTTCGCCACCTATCGACCTCCACCGGTCGCTCTGTGTCTCTCCAAGCTAGTCTAGCGTTGCCATCTTTGCCTCCGTTTCAAAATGGTGCTCCTTGCGTCTCTATCAACAAACGAACAAATGCGTTTTAATGGGTCACTAAACCATGTGCTATTTATTCAATATTCTGAAAGTACTGAGTGAATAGATTAC